CCATAGCACTAACTTTTTCAAATATTCTTGCAGCTTGTAAGATGCCTCGTTAGGGTCTGAACTAGAGATGGGCACGGGCCGGGCTTTTGGCAGGAGCCCGGCGGGCCCCTGCGTAAGCCCGCGGGTACGGGCAGGAATATTTGCTGTCAGCACGAACTCGTGCGTGCATGTGCGTTGGTAATACTACAAATTTAGATAAGCTTTTGTTTCTATAAAAAAAAGTACATTTTAAGACTCCTTGATAAGAGAAAAGGAAAAAAAGAAATATTTGGAAACCGATAAAAAAATAAGATACTTAGGGGCAAATTCACAGTGCGTAATTAACCACTGACAAAAGTTTAACTATTGATTATGATATACACAACGCTCAGTTAACAAAAGTTTAAACCAGCATGTCCCTATATTTAGTTAAACTCGTGTGAAATTGAAATTTTTTTTGTGGAACGAATTTCAAATTTGAATAGAAAAGTATTGATATTTAGGATTTGTATATTTTCAGGCGATATGAATTTCCATAGTTAACTATGTGACTCTGAATATAAATTCAAAGTTAAACTCTTGGTGTTGGTGGTGGGAATCCCGCCCTTAGTAGTTTTGTTTACATATCTGTACATAAAATACCTTCCACTTTTTCTACTTCCCAGAAAATATATTATAAAAATCTTTTATGCAAAAAATTTATTCGCTTCCTTAAATATACATACATAAACACAAAATTAAAAATATGTACATATGTATGTATACATACAATAAAAGTATGCTCTTTATTTCCGGGCGTCGTGCCGGGCCGGGCCCCACTAAAATTCTTAACGTGCGGGCTCGTGCGTGTTTTTGAAAGTTGATTTTGCACTCGTGCCGGGCCGGGCCTGGAAATTTAGGCCCGTGCCCATCTCTAGTCTGAACTATTGCTTAGGATAGCTGTGTCATCAGCAAACGTTGAAAATGTTAGACTATCATCAATTTGCAAATCACGAGTGTATATTACGTACAATATGGGTCCTAGTACACTGCCTTGAGGGACACCTGCATATATTGGGTGACTTTCCGTTCTAAAGGAATTCTGCCTGACTCTGAAGTTTCTCCCCAGCAGAAAGCTTTCCAGAATTGCATGCGTATTTACAGGGAGTGAAACCTTTAGTTTGTGTATAAGGCCATCATGCCAGACTTTGTCAAAAGCTTGAGAGATGTCCAAAAATACACCGGTGCAGTTTGCTTCCCTTCGAAGGCTTTTCTAATACAAGAAACAATTCTATGAACTTGTTCTACAGTGCCATGTTTTTCACGAAAACCAAACTGATGTGGTGGTATTATTTGGTTACTTGTTAGTGAAGGTTGTATTTTTTTCAATAGAAGTTTTTCAAATGTTTAGGAAAATACAGAAATCAAGCTAATCGGCCGATATGAACTTACTACCGTCGGATCTTTACCTGGCTTTGGCACCATAATTATTTCCAAAAGTCAGGGAAGTGCCTCAACTTAAGCATGTGATTAAAAATATGTAATAAAAAATGTACGGCAGTTTGTGGATGCTCCTCTATAATTACACCTGTAATCCTATCGTAACCAGGCGCTTTATTCTTCTGAATATCATGAACAATGGTGTTAATTAAATCTCTCTTTTTAACCCGACGCGGATTTGTGGTAAAGCTACTGGGAGGTATTGAAATATTGGAAGGATGAGAGCTTTCATTGGGTCTAAAGACTTGTGAAAGATGACAGGCGAAAGCGTTTGCTTTATCCTCATCATTCCTCGCCTTCCGTTCTGAGTACGTAATGGTGCTTCTCGAAGAACGGGCCTCTTCGCATGCTTCAGTGTTCGCCAAAGGGAGTAGTCAGTCTGTTTCGAAGCAGACGTAGTTCCTTTGTACACGCATTCAACTCCTGTTTAAGCTCGGAGAGCGAATTCTTTGCCATTCCCTTCTTAATTTACGCTTTACTCATTAAGTTAAGAATGTTTGGGGGGTGAAAGCCAGGGCAGTAAGAACTGCGATGTTTAATAGAAGGATTTGGTGTGGCCTTAACTATTATATCAGTGAGATGTTCAGCTGCCCTGTCGATATCATTCTTGGTCCGAATAGGAATTTGCGGGTCAATGTGCGAACGGACATTCTTTTTGTATTTTAACCAGTTTGTGTGCTTATTTGTAAAATTTTTTGGTTTTTCTTCATAATTAATAAACATTGATAATGTTATGAAGCAGGGTGAATGATGTGAAGAGAGATCAAATAAGGCTTCAGTATTAACTCGGTGTCGCGCAATACCCTTTGGTACACCAAAGTCAATAATATCGGGTATTTTTTGGGGGTCAGATGGCCAATACGTTGGCTGACCAGTAGACAAGACATCAAATACTCTGTTCTGGATTACTTTACATAGATTTCTACCCTTTGGTGTAATCAATCTAGATCCCCAGAATGTGTGCCTGGCATTGTAATCTCCTGCTACAATAAGCTTACTGCCAAACTTTAGGAAAAAATCATTAAATTGTTTTTCTGTTATGTTATGACGAGGGGGGCAGTATATAGCAGATACAGTAAGGCCACCCAAGTGGTCATCAATGTGTATTGCAGTGTTATGAATGAACTCATCACTTTGCGATTCTAATTCATAGTGCTTTATTCTGTTACGAATAAGAATAGCTGTTCCACCTTGGGCTTTACCTTGTGGATGCTTAGTATCATAGAATTTGTACCCATTAATTTGAAAGTTATTAAATTGCGTATGGTGGGTTTCAGATACAAGCAAAACGTCTATATGATATCGCTCTAGGAAAATTTCTAGTTCGTTTTTATGCTGGGTTATCCCGTTCGCATTCTCAAAAACAAATTTTGAGATTATTCACGGTTTAGCTAAAATGGCTTGAAGTAATAGATTTTGATTTTTAATCAAATCTTGTACCATGCTGTACATTGCCATCATTTGCTCCTGCATAACTTTCATAAAGTTGTTTATAGTAGCTTCTAGGTTATTACCTTTCTCACCAAAAAGAGGTTATGTCGGAGCAGTGTTGCCAGAACTTTTTGGGCCGACCGGCTAGATTGGCAAAAAAAAGCGGCTAAAAACGGCTAAAATGTTTTAGTGAAGTTTCACATAGACTCTGGCAAAAAACGGCTAAAATGTTTTAGTGAAAATTCACATGCTTTATTTAAATAAATCGCAAGAAACGAAAGACTAGTTAACACCATTAATTTATATCGAGTGTATATTCCTCATCATCAAATGAATCACTATTGTATATATCACCTGAATTCATTAATTTTAAGTACAGTAAAATTATGGCAGCATTTTTCTTCACGTTTTAAACCGTATCTTATATATAAAATAGCGTTTAACTTTTTAACGCACATTGGATTTCTTTGCTTGGTTTTTATTATATTCATTGAACTAAATATTCGCTCTACTTCTGCCTTACTTATAGGCAAAACAAGAAAACTAAAAACTAGGTTGGAAAGGTCAGCAAACGGGTTTTCTCCTAGGGCATTTCGAAATTGATAAACTTCGGCCCAAAATTTTACAGTTGAGTCTAAATTACTCCAGGTATGTAACGTTAACCGTTGCCATTGCATCTCTATGGATGTTATTTCGCCGGCATTATATTTGTGTTTTTGTTGCTGTTGTTGAACAAATACTTTTGTTTTAATTACTCTTAATGCATTTCCAACCGAAAAAAGTCAATTTTTTTTAGTGTGGCAATATTTGTACGGAGGCGTTGGTGTAATTCCTTTATTAAAGTGATAATAAAATAGCGACCATTTTCTCGAATTATTTTCTCGGCTTCGTGGTCAAAAGCGTTTGTGCTTACTTTTGTTTTTAAATACTCTTCAAAACTGTGATAAAACTGAGGAAATGGAGCAAGGTATGGTTCCAACGGGGAGCATATAGGATCAAATGTGTCCGCGCTAATAACCACTAGGGAGCATAGATGCGAAAGTAAAACATTGAGTTCATTAAAAATCTTCATTGGGTCTGCATTATTGCTTTCGAACAACTTGTTTACTTTTTGCACCTGAAAATTAGGCAAATAGTAAAATCGGCTAAAAACGGCTAACTTTTTTTTACAAACCGGCTAACAAATCGGCTGCCGGCTAGATCGTATTTTCTCCGGCTAGTTGCTATCAAAACCGGCTAAATCTAGCCGGAAAACGGCTAAAATGGCAACGCTGTGTCGGAGGAGTATTTTTGAGCATTTGTGCATATGAAGTAAAGTTATTAACAGTCATTGGCGCAGACATTGGCTTAGCGGGTTCTGGTATTGGGGTTTTGCCTAATAGGAATATTTTTGGGAATTGTTTTCTCTTTCATTCAGATATAAACTAGACAACCTCTATGGTTAGCAGTGTGATTTCCACCGCAGTTACTGCACTTTTTAGATTTAGGGTCTATTTTTGGTTTCACACATTCTTTAGAAATGTGTAGATCCCACAGATAACACAGACACCTGGTAAGGTGCAGTAGCGACGTGTTTGACCAAATTCCTGGCAGTTCTGAACAGGGCCTCTACGCTTATGGGGTTCTTCTACGGAGATTTTACGGTGTAGAAGATATCGCAATTGATATATTTGATGCACTTCCCCTTTCTTCAGATTGTAAAAGTCAGGTTCTAGCTCTATATTGAACATCGGTTGAGGGATGTTTTCTTTATTTTTGATGTTGAAAACTTTGCGCACCTTAAAACCTTCTTCCCTAAGAGCATTTTCTATCTCTTGTGGATTCACACTTGACTCGATGCCTTTTATGACAACTTCTAGTCCTCGACTACTTTTAAGCTGATAGGTGTAATAAGATTTCTTACACTTATCAAACTCATTGGTAAGTGTACGAAAAATATCTTCGTTTTGAGCCTGTATTTTCACTTCGTGAACTTGAAAATTATTTTTCCCTACTAGTTTTAGGAGAGTATCTACCAGAGCATTAGAACTTTGTTCTCGTAGATAAATAGGTGGAGGCTTGTATTTTTTAACTACCTGTTGGTTAGAATCATTATTCATATCATCGAAAATATTAAAACGATTATTCTCCGCTGATGTAGAAGTACCTGAAGTGACTACTTTCAACATTTTATTTTTTGGGCTTTGTTTTGCATTTTTTTTTCGGGTGTGCGCTTTCGCTTTATTAATATGTAGCGATCTAACCCAGTCTTAACAGTAGCATTTTTTGCTTGTTTTTCGTCTTCTTTGGTTGTTGCCGTCGAAGTATTAGCATCGGCAGCTGCGTTGTTGTCCGCATTGATCACTGCTGGAGAGCAGGAAGATGCTCTTTGCTTGGCTGTATCTGCTATTTGTGATGGTGTGTTAACAGTATAAGAGTTTTCTTTAGCGTTGTTGTTGCTGGTTTTGCTTTTTGGGCTGTATTCAGTAATTGTCAAATATGCATTTCTTTTGCTGCGCTTTGCATTGAGTGCCTGCGCTCCTTTAGGGGAGCGCCCTCGACACTCATCTCTCACTTAACTACCGTTCGTATTTTGTATGTAAACAATAATTTATTTATTTTTATACACACAATGTCTTATTGTCTTCATAGTCCGCCTAATGAAAGGACCGTTCCACGTCAGAACAATCTTCCGAATGACTTAATTAATCTTTCTTCTCCATGTCCACAGACAACGGAGTTATCTTCTCCAAAAGAACATATATCAAAGTCTTCTTCTAATAATAACGACCCTGCAGTATCTTCCCCGTCCCCCGTTGAAGTTGTGGCACCGCCATCTAATCTTCCAACACTTACTCTACCCTCAATTAGTAACTCAGTTACTCAACCCCGTCCGCCGGTAATCGAGTCTGATACTAGGAGACTGGTTGTGGTTCCCCCAAAGAAGTCTCTTTTGTATCTAGATTTTCGTGGGATACTTCCGAGGACGATATAAAGTTTTACATCTCGTCCAAAGTTAAAACTGTCAACTTGAGTATCAGAAAATTTAATTTTAAATATGAAAGAAATATTTCTTCATTTAAAATAGACGTAAATTTAGAAAATTTTGACATGCTGCTTAGTAGTTCTTTTAATTTAGCAAATATTCCCCGGCAGAATACAGAACCAAAAGACTGATTACTAAATCTGCTTTAAGTATTTATTATCAAAACGTAAGAGGCATAAATACTAAATTAACGAATTTATATTTTAATGGCCTTGAATGCAATTATAATATAATTTCTTTGACTGAAACTTGGCTCAAACCTCACACTTTTAATTCAGAGATTCTTTCAAATAATTATCATATCTACAGAAAAGATCGGGAGGACAGAGTCGGCGGTGGCGTACTCTTTGCCGTAGACTCTTCAATACCATCTGAAGAAGTTAGTCTTCCACACATTGAATCTGCAGAATTCAAATGCATTCGTGTTCAGGTTGGAAGGGGGTTTACTTACTTAGCTCTATGCTATATTCCTCCACGATCTGACTTATCAGTGTATTCACAACATGTATCTTTACTGAAATCAATTAATTCAATGATTAAACCCTCTGATTCATTGATTGTGTTGGGTGACTTTAATTTAAAATGTATCATGGAACATCATTGACAATGATATTGTACCTTTCTCGTCTAGCGTGTGCAACAACGTATTTTTAGAGGCGATGGCAGAACTCTGCCTGAATCAAGTTAATGTACTTCGCAATAAGTTTGGCAAAGTATTAGATCTTGTTTATGTTGATGATGCATCTAAGTCGGCTGTAAATAAATGTGACCCACTAGTTTTGCCCGAAGATGTCTACCACCCTGCTATTGAGATATCTTACGAAATTATAAACGATGGTCAAAATTGCGATGTCCAAACATACGAACCAAATATTCGCATTGATTTTTCGAAAGCCAACTTTAAAAAACTGAATAAAGAATTGTCTAAATTGTCGTGGCCTATATACAAAGAAAAAGTTGAGCAAAGCGTTGCACATTTTAATTGTACTGTACATAGATTATTTGAAAAGTATGTGCCTCAACGCATGTGTGTTCCTGAAGAACAAACACAGTTATGGTTCACTAAAGAACTGAGAAACTTGAAAAACAGAAAGTCACGTTATTTTAGATTACACAAAAAAGCCGGCTTACACTCATACTATGTAAAATACTCACTTTTGCGTCACAAGTTCTTTGAATTAAACAAAAAGTGTTATAAAGATTACTTGTGTAAAATCAAACGACGTATAATATATAACCCCAAATCATTTTATGATTTCGTAAACTCCAAGCGAAATGTACGGGGGTTTCCTTCCGCCATGAAGTATCAAAATACCGTCTCTGGTGATAATCAAACAATTTCTAACATGTTCGCTCAGTTTTTTAAATCCAATTATTCCACTAACTCCCAAGCATACTTTGACTATCATTTTAAACTAAGTCCAATTAACTCAATACATAACCCTATAATATCTCCCGATGATGTTTTAGTTTACCTGAAGTCCTTAAAGCAGTCTTTTAGTTATGGTCCTGACCAGATCCCCACTTGTTTTCTTAGAAATTGTGCTGATTATCTCTATGAGCCGTTAACAGCCTTATTTAATTTGTCTCTTAAAGAGGGCATTTTTCCAGCTGTATGGAAGGAATCGTTCATAACCCCCTTACATAAAAGCGGTAGCAGGTCTTCAGTGGAGAACTACCGGGGCATAGCCAAGCTTTCTGCAATTCCTAAATTATTTGAAGCAATTATAACAAATCGGTTGACGCATTCTATCACTTCAAGCATTTCATACAGTCAACATGGATTTTGCAAGGGCAAATCAACTTCTACAAATTTACTTGAATTAACATCCTATATCCCAAAAGCATTTAGTGAGAGCAAAACTGTTGATGTTATATATACTGATTTCAGTAAAGCATTTGACAAAGTGTGCCACTCGTTGCTCATCTATAAACTTGATCTTCTTGGTCTTCCACCTAATTTTCTACGTTGGATCTCTTCATACCTCTATGATAGATCACAAAGGGTATTGTTTAAAAATACTATCTCTGACGTCATTGATGTTACTTCAGGAGTCCCTCAGGGTAGCCACCTAGGCCCGATTCTGTTCTTGCTTTTTATAAACGATATTTCTACAGATATAAAATTCTCCAAAATTTTAATGTATGCAGATGATGTAAAACTTTATAAATCGTACGTTTCAATTGAAGAAAGGTCTTTGCTACAATCAGACTTAAACAGCATGGCTTACTGGTGTAAAGTAAATCTTATGCCTCTAAATCTTAAGAAATATAAAGTAATGTGCTTCTCGCGAAGAGCTGTTCTGCCAGTTTCTTATATAATAGGTAACCATAACCTGGAACAGGTATACAATTTTGTGGACCTTGTTATCACAATGGATCCTAAGCTTAATTTTAATCTTCACATTAATGTGACAGTCAACAAGGCTAAAGGTGTACTTGCATTTGTGAAACGATGGTCAAAAGAATTTAGTGACCCTTATATCACTAAAACCCTGTTTACAACATTACTTAGGCCGATTCTGGAATACGGCTCGGTGGTTTGGAATCCAAGGTATCAAATTTACTCAGACAAGATAGAATCAATTCAAAAACAATTCCTACTTTTTGCTTTAAGAAATTTCCGATGGGATTCTCAATATAGTCTTCCACCTTATACGAGTCGCTTAAAACTTATTAACCTTCCTACACTTGCCAGTCGCAGGGAAATGCTTGGTATAATTTTTATGGTTAAATTACTGACAGGCTCAATTTCAAGTCCGTCTCTTCTGGCTGATGTAAGCTTTAATGTTCCCTCACGCGTATCAAGACACTTTTGTCCCATATTTCTGAAAGCTTGTAAAACCAATTTTGAATTGCACGACCCACTCCGTTGCTTATGCCAGGATTTTAACTCTCATTCCAGCACGTTTGATATATCAGATCCGCTTTTCAGCATTAAGAAAGCGATACTCTCCTCTCTCAATAAGTGAATTATTGACATAAATACATAAAATCAGCTGATGAATTTAGTTCTGTAGCTGAACAGTTTTAGATCTCGACACTTAACAAACTCCTGCCTATCGTGACTCGGCACAAAAATTTAAAATATTGGTTCCGTACGTCATGCGGACTGCGCCCCTCGTGCGGATGGGCGGGAATGGAGGGTAAAAACCGTTGGGATATTATTATTATTATTTAGGTATTTTTCGCGATCAGGGTTTGATTTTTTATACTGCTGACGACACAAAACTCCAATAATAGTTTAGTGTGTCTTTCGATGGTTAAGTATTATTAGTTACACGATAAATATGATTTTTTGTGGAGCGAATAAAGAACACGTCCGTACTCAACCGCAACCGTACTTGATAAAATTTTAAAAGGACATTTTCAATACTTACCAGTCGTTCTGCACCAAAAACTTGAATCTGTTTAAATTCTACAGGTGTTTCTCTTTAATTTGATACCCATACTTCTTCTCTAAGCACATTTCTCTGAATTTTTTAAATAATTTTTGAATTACTGACGTCAGAGTGAAAAACTAAAAACGCA